AGAAAGAGCGAACTCAGCTAAATGCTAAGCATAGTCAAATGCACACAGAAAAAGTCCATACGAGGTTTTTTCCTGCTCTCCATTTGTATTTCTTTTGCTCTCACTTTGAAAGGGAACAGTCCACTAAAACAAACACCCTTCAATAAAATAAACAAAGACCGATGCTTCCCATGGCTGAAACAACGTGAAAGTCTCTTTAGGATCAAAGTTGGAGCTTCTCCTGGGATGAAAAGAAGCAGGTGTCCAGCCAAGATATTTTGTGAACTGGCTACAGCTACACAAGATGCAGGCCCTGATTCTGCCCCAGCAAAGGCATTAAAGATGGAATGCATTCCCTAGCCCCTACACTTAAGATGACAAAGTTATACTACTTTGATAACAAAGAAAAAAAACCAAAACAAACAAAAACACCCCAAAATTTAACAGAACAATTCTTCAATTAATTTGATTAATAAAAAATAAAAAAAAAGAGTGGCTCTGCCCAAATCCTCTTCCCATTACTGTGCGCAAACTGTTTAAATAGCTAGAAAGAATCACTAGCTTGGGGATACTGAAGTCCTTTACCACCTATGCAAGAGATTTCAAAAAAATAAACAAAAAAGCCACATTCCAACCCATTTACAGCAGCATAATATAAATCTGTATAATACATCTTAATTTCTTTAATTGGAAGACAGTATATGCTTGCACAGCACAAACCAAAGTTTGACGCTAGACCAACACTGCTGCTGAAAATATCTTTCTCTCAGTATTATATTTATGGAATTTGTTATTCACAGAAAAAAAAAATCTACTGCAAGATCAGGATAACAGCACATCTTTCAGAAGAAAAATCCCAGTGGTGAACAGTAAGCCTTAAATTTGATTCAGAAGAACTTGCAGAGATTAAAACTATAAAACTGCTTGTGCCCACAGGTACTGAAGGAAGCTGTGACACGGATCCCAAGTGTTAGTACAGCCTTCCTGGATAAACATCAAGAAATCTGTGCCCTTGTACAAGAAACTGTTGTCCAGGTTTTGTAGAACATCCAGCTAGGGGACTTCAGATCTCCAGATAAGAATGCCAGCAATACCTTAGAAATGGAGACTGCTCAGGGCTAGAGGGCAAACACGAACACAGACAAACTGAAAGAAGGTACTTAAACTATGTAAAAAAACCATAAAATTAAAAATAAAAGGGAGATAACAGTGAAATGAGATTGGATTTAGCAAGACAACTGTATGAGGAAAATATAGCTTACTTGGTAAAACCTATAGTGTATAATTACCATTTTTTTTTTGTACAGTACCTCACATGCTTTTGTCAGCATCTTTAGACAAGACAGTACAAGGCAACAATACCTCAGGGCTGAAGGGGCGGCGGGGAAAGGGCGGAAAGAAAAAAAAAAGGAAAAGAGCTCAAGTTAGAGACAGGACAGAAAGGTAGTAAGGCACCATGAAGAAATCAAGACAGCTTGTTTCCTAAACCTGACCTCCAGTGTTAAGTACAGAGACTAAGATACGGTACACCCTTAATGCAAACTGCCATGAATGTGCTAGTGAACAGTGAAAAAAGCCTACACAACGTATTCAGAACCTCTCAAATTCTACATTGCACTTAATGAAGCGCAATTCAAAACCCTGTATTCTTTGGGAAGAATTTTGGAATTGCTGGGGAAAAAGGAAACAGATCAAAATTAACACACTAGGCAAAGACAATGAAAGAGTATCTACCATTTAAAGCCTATCCTTATGAAATACTGTTGGGATTTAACAGAAAAACAGGAATTCAACTGACTATACTTCCTCCTTCCCCCCATACTTCCATAATTCAAGACAAATTAATGATTTGTCTGTAAATATCTGTCTACAAGTCATGTTTTGTCCAGAAGCTTTTTTTTTTTACAAAACAACCCCCCACAAACAGAAGTACAGTCTCTTAGAAAAATTACTTGAAGACCACAAAAATCGAACACTTAAGTAATTTTTTATCAGAGCTTTTTTCCACCCCTAAACCATACTTTAGTGTCTGTTACAATATTTACATGGTAAAATGACTACCAGTTTGACTGCAGAATTTTATGTTCAAAACTGAAAAAAAATTCAAATTGCATGTTTTACAGGGGGCATTTCAGTTTACAAAGAGCCAATGAATTTCAAAAATTCAATATATGAAATTATAATAAAGGAAAAGCAACTTTTTATGGTCACAAAATCTATTTTTTTCCTTAGTAAATGGTCTTCACTTACCATATATTATTGAACCAGATAAAAGTTAACAAGAGATAGGAAGGCTAGTATACTCCCTACACAATTAGCCAGCTTACATTTCCTAGTATTTACTCATGCAATAAGGCTTTATTCAGTCTTACAATTATTAACAGGGAGGGAAATATTAAAGTTATTACTGGATCTACTTAGTAACAACAGATGAACACATCAGGGAAGGGGGAAGGGAAAGTCTTGTAAAACTTAATTCCATTTCAAATCAAGTAAGCAAAAGAGCTTAAAAGTCCGCAAAGACTACTTTCAAAAAGCTCATCCTGCCAGCCTCACCCAAGCATGACAAAAAATTGCTCAAAGGTGCATGCTCAGAAGCTGCTAAACAAATCAGAAATACTTCTCTCATAATATGATGGATTCTTTTAACACAATGGGTCTGATTTTATAAATTAGACTATAATATGAATATCAATACTTTATTACAGTATCCTGCATTTTGAGTAAAATAAAATATTTAGGAGAAAAGTCTTTGTGATATTTTATTTGACAATGTTTTTAAATGTTTCCATGCATTTGTAATTTCCTCCGAGAAGCTGATTAACAGTGTTCTTTATGAACAGTATATTAAATGCAGAATATTTTAGAAATGCAAAACTACCTGGAAAATATTTACTACATACAGATTAACAAAAATAATGCAGTGTTTAGTAGTGCAAAGACACATGCAATGTTCTAAAGCACCCCACTGTAAAAACTATCTTAATCAAACCACTTTTAGATTAACAGGCTCTGAAGTTGTTTAAAAACAAATCCCCCAAAATTCCACACGAAGCCTTTTTCAAAAAAACACCCCAAACCTCAGAATCAGTGCTGTGAACAAAACAATATCATAAATGGAAAACTGTTGTAGAAAATTAAGTAGTAAGGTGATCAAAATCATAGCTATTGTCGAGATGGTTTCCTTCTATAAAGGTACTCAAAGGACTTAAGTGTTAAGGAATTAAAAGAAAACTTTCATTATTCTGATATTCTAAGGTCTACAGTCTGACCATTTTCTCTTAATCAAAGTTAGACGTCCTACCTCAGGTGAGACTGGACCTAGTAATCAAATTATAGCTTTATGAATGGTTTTACCTCGAAAGTGCTAAATACAAAATTATGCCTTTTTAAAAATATATATATATTTAGATAGCACTTTTTAATAAATATTCAGGACTACTACATAAAACTGAGAATAAATCTAAATTGGAAACTGAAATTAAGTCAAACAAGACACCTCATTCCCAGTATAACTTCATGTTTTTAATTTATAATTTACTTCCTTAAGACCAAAACCAAATCTTGTTTTCACACATTAGAACACGGCAGCACAAACATCAGAGCAAGAAGCTTTAGTATGAGATTTTAACCTCGCCTTGCATTCCTCTTTTTTTCTTTAAGCACTACTTTTCACCGATTTAAATAATTTTGAGCAATTTGACTTGACACTCAACATAGTCTTTCTCCTAAATTTGACTTTGGATAACCAGCATTAATATTCAGCTTCATTCAACCAATCAGTGTTTCCACATGTATTCAAGGTCTTCTTTTTGACACTTATGAAAACACATTTGCTGACACTTTTAAAATTTCATTAAGCTTTGTTCAAATAAAAATGGAAACAAATTGAAATTTACATAACTTAAAATTTTATTAAAGAAAACTCAGTGTGCTTCAACTATCAAAACAAGACTTAACAAAAACATTTTGTCATTAAAGGCCAACAGTCAATTAGCAAAATTGTTCCAGTAACCAGACTCCACATGGTTTTCAGGCATGCAAAAGTGCATAATGGTGTTTTTGGAAAGCCTGTCAAGCATTTACATAGATACCTGACTGCTGCTGGGATTTCACTAGGAGTTGGGTGTCCACTATTGTTTTTGTTTTCTGTATTTTTTTCCTCAGACTTTTTTCAGGTGTTTGGGGTTTTTTTGGTGCGTAATGTTCTCAGTTAACTTCATCCACAGCTTTAGAGTCTCTTTACATATCTAATTTTATTCCCTTCAAATTGAATTAAGAGTTACTAGGTACAATCTTTTACCACCTGTTTTTCAAAGAGAAGCTCTCTACTTTTTGAACCTTCAGCTCCTAAATTTTGGAATTTAACTTGAACACCATCAAAAGTTCTCTGCTCCTGCAAATATGACTAAAACAAACAAAAAAAAAAAATCAAGCCAAAATATATTCTCTGCAACAGAATCTGACAACATTTCATAGTAGGCAAATAAATGTCAAGATTAGCTTCACTCTGAAGTCTACAGACATAGCACCATGATTTTGTTCTCCTTATAAATCTGGCTTCCCTTTTGATTTTTAATTCATTTAGAAAACAGCTCTCTCACTAAAAGGTGAGGAAGGCTCATGTATACAGTATTTAAAATTTTAAGAGATTACAGCAAGTCTACACATAACACTGGCTGCCATGATTCCAAATTTAATTATCAAGAGGTTTATTTTTAAAAAGATATTCAATTTCTAAATGACTAAACTAGCACTTAATAACAAATTTTTTATCCACTGTATAGAGATATATTTTCAAGTAAAAGAATCATATTGTAGAACTACTTACCAGAGAAACTGAGAATTAAATAGATATCTTTTAAGGCAGAAGTTCAACTATAAACCAGGTTAAAAGCCACCACAAAATTAACTATAACTACTTCATTCAGCATTTAAAAATTTGCCTTTATATCTATTAACTCCCATGCTGGCTAGAACTCTACTGATGTTCCAGGAAGCGCAGCTGGATATGGTTATCGTTAGAGGCTAAAGCTATGCCAGAGTAAAGTCAACCTACTCGCTACCTTTTCATTATTAAACAAACTGCGCTCATTTACGTTAGGTAAGTTATATAAACTATTTAGAAAGAGGAAGTATGAAATATTGACAATGACAAAACAGATTTTAAAAAGCTATCACTGAAAAAGTTAGAATACATATTCAGAGGAATTTCAATGCTTAAAAACAGATGTATATACGTTCATCCAGTTTAAGATTAGTGTATTAAAAAACGTTAAGAAAATACTTTATGTTTCAGTTCACCTGCACTTGATTCAAGTACAGCTTGGGGGCTGGCTGATATAAATTAAACATGGTCACTGCCTCAGCAACCAGAAGTACAGAAAAATGTACATGTTCACAGGATAAATAGAAGTTTCTTCTTTTTGGGGTGGGGGGAAGCTATCTCACTCCAATACGGGAGGTCATCCACTCCAAGCCTTGGCATAATCTGCAAGATAAGAGATGTTATATTGGCACTAGTTCTATTGCCACATCTTTATAGTATTTTATACTTGTTTTTAAACATAAAATCATCTACTTAAAATAAATAAAATCGGCTGGAATTGGGATTGAAACTTGAAACTTAGGCTTTAACAACAATAAGATGTTCAAGCATGCTATTTTACTGAAGCTTGGCACTTCTTCAATTTCTTTTCCTTGTAAATCTAAAATACACTATTGTTAACAGGCTCACTCATAAGTACACAGAACTAAATAAGTTTTTCTTTTTCTACAGGTTTCCCATGAAAGACTGCTTACATGAAAGCTTTTACCTTTACATACTAACACTAAAAGATAAAGGCCAGACTACCCAGACTGAATTGGTTCACAAAAAAGAAGTGTATCAAGAATTCCAAAATCCCATTACAAAATTAAAAATATGTTTATATTTAACACCAAAATTGCACAGGATTTAATCTGCTTACTGACTCAAATTGCATCTCTTAAAGTCTTCCATTTCAGCAGACAGGCTTTCATTTGATTTTTCTAGGGATTTAGTTACCTAGTTTATGCCATCTTTAAGCTTTACCATTGTAAAGTAAATCATTACTTGGCTACCCAAGAAGACTTCGTTTTTGTGTGTTGTTTGGGTTTTGGTTTGGTTTTTTTAATAGTAAGGGTGAAAGACTTTCATACAAATTTGGTGTTTGAGCTATGAAACAAGTCTACAAGGTTCAATAAAGAAAATAAAAAAATTAAAATGTCCCTCTGACTGCAAAGCTCAGAAAATATGTTCTTTCAGGAAATCCACATTGGTGTCAACGGGATTCAAATCAGTATTCTCATTTACCGTATATTACTATGCTAAGCAGTAAGCATTTACCCTTCTCCTGTCAAAGCACAACAGGACTGAATGTGCCACGGGTGATCCTTTATGGAGCTGAGGGTGAGGTATGTAGATATCTCAGCAGCTGTCATGCAGCCTTTCATGTCCTGCTTGTTTGCAAAGATGAGAACTGCAGCCTTCCGTAAATCCTTGAAGTAATTTAGAGTATTTGTAATAGTTATTACAAAGAACTAAAAAGATATTACATTAACTGAATTTCTTAAGAGAATTGTATTCAAGCTAATCTACAATTACACAGCAGCATGGAATTATAACAGCCTTACTGCATTAAAAATTAATTACATTAAGACTGAAGAAACCAATTGATTCAGAAGTGTTCACCACAGAGAACCAAATTATTATATATTATATGCCTATCCTTTTGGTGTTGATCACATGTTCATATGTTAACTAATGACAGCCTTGTTAAAATATATTTCATAAAGTTCCAAACTATCCAGCCAGCAGAATTATTACCGGATAAACATTCCAAAACCTACAGTAGATACTATACAAACGGAAAAGCCTGCTAGATATCATTCTCTTGAAATTACTTTCAACTTCATTAAACAAGCTCTGTAGTGAATAAAGCAGTAACAATTTAAGAAAGCTATCTAAATTCTTGTAAGTTTTATCCTATTGTTCCAAAAAGGGAGCTCTAATGCTGCAGCAGCTTTAGTAAGAACAGAAACTAATAAAAAGTTACTCTGTTTCTGTATGGAAATTAGGATTCCACACAGCAATGAGACACAAACTGGAATATATAGTTATAGGAGTGTAGATGGGCAAACAAACGCAACACTTGGAAAGCTGACAGTTGTAATTAAAGGCGTTCAACACATTTCAGTGTATACTAAATTTTGAGCCTATTTTTGCATCAAGAGAAAAAAAACCCAAACCTTTATGGTCTAAAGTTGAAAACTCACTCCTATAAGTTGTCCAGTCAAGGCCTTCTGACTGTTTTCAAGACATGGTCAATCACAATCTCATAAGAGTTTGTAACACTGGAAACTACTAAACTACACAGGAAAAAAGTAATCTTTCTACCTTTTTGGTAGCGTATTTGCTCCTCACTACCAGATCTAAACTACATTAACTGTAAAACAAAAACTCACTCACTGGAAATAATAAATTGTACTAAATTATTTTCCTTCAAAAATGAAGGAATCTATTTAGATTTAAACCAACCCTAATTTAGCTTGAGTGATCATCGAAGGTTTTACTGTACTTTAGCTAATCCAATGCAGATGTTAATCTGTGAAGTTCAAAGGAGTTGACACAATGTTGAGCAGTCTTCAACATAACATATAATAATAAATCTATAAAAAATTTTTCAGAAGGAAACCAAACTGAAACTAATTTATCTATATATGCTCCTTTGTTTTAATCTTGTTACTTAAAATTAAGAAGAAAGAAATGGAATTGCCTACTTTCTAAAATAAAAATAAAAATTAAAAAAAAAAGTTTCCTGAAATTTTAACCATTTAACTGAAAGAAGAGAAATAGTGGTGGAGAACAACACCACCCAGTTATATTAATATGAAGTTTAAAACATTTTACAAGTTCAACATTTGCAAAGTAAAGAATGATTTGATTACAATCAAGCAAGCCCTATTAGAAGTGTGCTTCATAATAATTTTCCTGTTTATCATTTACATGGTTTGAAAATGTGACCAACATGCATGCACATTTAGGCTTGGAGTTTTTTTTCGTGACAGTATAATTTTTGTTAACATAGGAAGCATATAATGTTATTTGACTGTTCACAACAAATTAAAACTATTATTCCAACTCCCATCCCAACTAGCCACCATACCTCATGAGCCAGCATTCTATAAAGTTCTTCTTTTGTAATAGAAAGTCGCTCTCTGTCAATGCTATCAACAACAAGAATGATGAACTAGGGGAAAAAACAATAGTATAGTTCGTAAGTACAAAGTATAAATTACAGAAAGCATGTTTTCAAGAGACCACTACCACAAGTCTTCCTATATAAGAGACAGACTTTCAGAGCACATGAGAAATCAGAACAAGAGGTTTACTGTTAGAGTCTTTTGCTAAAACCCTGGGAATCATATATGAAGATTATAGTTAAAAAAAAAAAAACAAACAAGCTTATATATTTCAGCACTGCTTAGATCTACTTTCATGTACTATGGTTAAATCTCCTTGGTGGATTTTCAGGCCCTACATCATAAGTAAAATAGTGATGTAGTTACCAAAAGCACCTATAGGTTGTGGATTACATTAAAAATGTGGATGACAAACTTGCTACACAGTTATCAGTGAAAAGAGCTATTATGTCTCACTACTACTTGCATACTCAGAAAAATATAATAATGAAATTCCCCATTTTGGAAGCAGCATTTTTAGCAATTCAGCATAATCTTATTCACGAGGCTTAATAAATGTTATTTCAAAGCAGTACATTAGACCTCAGAAGCCATGTACCTGCAGGGCTTATCCTTATGTTGTTGCACAGCACCTTAACCTTTGTAACGCAAAGGGCCTATGCAGCTGACCTCTCACTTAAAACTTTGCACCCTTCCACCCAGGCACTTGAAGACAACTATAACAGTGATTTCACCCTTACTGTTCCTGCCAGAGACATTATTTTCACAGCAATGCTCTTGTGAAACCTGAGACACTGCTAGGTTTGGTACATAAGGTATCCCATGGGACACTACTGTCACTAGTATAACAATTATTCTCTTTTACCCCACCCTTTCTGCCTCCTGTGCCTTCTATTTTATAGTGTTACACTAGAGAGAAAAAAACCCATGGCATTACATGGGAGGTAATACTCAGGTAAATGCTTGTAAGCATTACACAACAGCTTGTGTACACAAACCATAACAACTGATCAGTGTTCAACACTTGCCCTGCCCAGAGTGCACTCCAAGCACTGCTAACAACATCACAGGTGGGAACAATGAGTAGGGAGATCAAACACATTCTGATGAAAATTACACAGATACTATTAAAAAAAATTAATTACAGGGAACACATGCTACACTGGAGAGGAAAGACAAGGAGATTACATTCATCTGAGAGACTCCATCACTTCCTTGCCCAGATGGGAATACTTTTGCATCCCCTTTTCTCTTTTACAGTAACTCTTTTTGTTTGCCACCACCCCAATAACTCAACCACGCGAGCTCCCTCTCCTTTCCTCTCCCCTCAATCTCGTGTCTGTAAGCCTGTCTCAGCATCCTTTCTGTAAGAATACGATCTGACTCTTAAAACAGAATTGCAGGATTACCCATATTAAGTTAAAACTGATTAGGACAGGTATGCACAGAAAAGGTTATCTGTGGGATTTGTACATTATCCCAAAGATTTTGTTTAGATTGCTTTAGTTTGCAGATAAGGAGAGAAAAGACAGATAGTAACAAAAAGGAGGATTAGATGTCACCACTGTAATTATCCAACATATTCTCCTTAATTTTATAAGGCAAAGTGATTTGGAGATTCATTACCCATTGAAAATGACCACAAAGTATGAAAAACGAAGTCAATTTAATGCTGCTGTGACTTTGAGATGTCTAGCAGATAAGGAGGAACAGTAAAGGAATTATTCATATGAGGGAGGCTAGGATTAGCATACTAAACAGACCTCTTTTCTTCCTCAACTGTTTCCAGCAGACAAAGCTTCTAAGTAAGGGAAAGTTCTTCTTTCCAAGTGCTAGAAAGCACTGGATTTCAAACACCACTAGCTGGAATATGATGAAGAACCCAAAAGGATCAAAAAAAGAACTAATACATGCATCTCCCCAAACTCCAAAATTAAATATTCTCAATAGACAAATGACAGGAACTTATTGTTATTGTAACAGATATTGGCCCAAGTCTCTTCACCTTCATGTGTATGTGTCTTAGACGTAGCCATATTTTTCTACATAAAATTAAAAAATGAAGGTTGAGATGTCATCACCAGGCTTTCAGTAGATAAAAAGCTTCTGAACATCTGAGGTAGAACACTTTAATCTCTCCTTCTCTCAAAGGGATGCACAGGACAAAAAAACCCAATTTTACAGGAGGATGGAATGCTTACATAATGATATAATGAGTAATATCTACAAGAGATCTCTGCTTTTAGTAGAAATGGTAAGAAATGAAGTCTAAAGTCTTTTATATCAAAGTAGAAGTCTCAAAGTGAGACTACAGAAATTTTATATCCATGTTGTGTTGATAACCTTCTGGCTCCAAAAAGACTGGCATAAAAAACAAACCTCCAAAAGACAACCCTTGCTGAGTTCCACTCCAAACTTTCCAGCAATGGCAGCTTTACCAGCACCTCATGAGTACTGCACAAATAGACTTTCCTTTATCCTTTGGATAAAAGCCACAAGCTGATGAGCTTTTTAAATACTGCCTAGAGAAAGCTTAATTCCTCATCCTTAATTATCGTAACCTCAAAAACATTTCAGACTAGAAGTACAGAATTTAGGTTAACCACTGCAAATCCTCACCAAATTTGCAAATTACATTGCAAATTTTTCCTTTTAATGTACGTGAAAAAACATATAAAAAACCCATTTGATCTGAAAAGTACTTTGATATAATTTGCTTATCCAGGAAAAAAGTCTAACTTCACAGTTTATACTACAGATCAAACAATATTAGTGTAAAGTACACAGGAAAAAATACTTCATATATTCCCAGAAAACTGGCTGCATACCAGAGACGCCTTACATTTTTTCGGGTTTGTTCTTCCTCAAAAAGATTTAAAAACAATACAGCTGCAATCTTTATAAAAATCTACCAATATTCCTAATAAATAAATATAATTTCAAACAACCTTACTGAATTTGCAGGTTTCAAAGCAGCTTCTCATACCTCTGTGTTTGAATAATACGTATTCCACGATGACCGTAATGATTCTTGTCCTCCAATATCCCACATTAAGAAATGAGTATTTTTCACCACTATTTCTTCTACATTGCTTCCTATGGTTGGAGAAGTATGAACCACTTCATTCATTAAGCTAAAGGAAACAATACAACACCATAAAGACCAGCCACTAAAATACACAAGGTTTGTCACAGCTCAATTATAACAAATTTGTTGTAGAAAAAGTTAATGTGTAACTCTGATTTAAAAAAAAAAAAAGATTAAAAACTAGGCATATTTCAAAAGGCTATACACTTGATTTTTTAGAGAAATAAAGCAAATATGCAAGAGCAGTTCTTTAGTAAAAAGATTAGTTCAATCTGAATTTGGACTGCAGACACGCTTAAAGACATCAGCAACGAAAAATAAGCACATAAGAAGCTCAACAAATGGATAAGCATCTGCATTTTAAGAAGCTTCTCTTTAAAGGACACTGCAACAGATACTTAAAATGCACTTGTTTTAAAGTAGGATTATTTCTACACTTACAAATAAAGATAGGCTTTAATGGCAAAAGAATTTGCACTTCGTTTTTGTGTTTGTATGTACAATTGTGTTATTCAATTCACAGTTCAGTTCTAAAACACTGCAGTCCCTTCACTTATCCTTTAAATATTAATTTTGTTTAGAACAATAACATTAATGTACAAACTGTGATGTAGAACTCTAGAGATTCTGCCAGGTTGCAAAGCTGAATTTTCAATCATTAAAGAGTGACAAATACTAAAAAGTAAACAGAAAACCAAAATAGTTCATATACTTACAATTGGTAAAGAATAGTAGTCTTTCCAGCATTATCAAGTCCCACTATGATTACTTTGTGCTCTGCATATACACAAAAAAAGACAAGAATAAATTAGTGCAAACAGTAACAATTCTAATTACGGTTAGTCACTTCTCCTTTCTGAAGAAAGCAACTGCTTGTTTGTCTTATTTCAACAGCTTACACAGAATACTGGTGACCTCAGGACAGAAAAAAAAAATTAAAAAATCCAAAAAGTCTCATCTTCTCTTGAGATTACAGTTTCAGGAAAAGTCAGTCCTAGAAGTCTTCATAAAGGAATGGTTACTAATATGATTACTTCATTATAAAAAAAATAATCTATTTCTAGAAAGAAAAGTACAATGAAAAAATGTAGCAGTGTATCATCTTAAGAATACCACCAAACATCCAAAGACTGCACAAAGTATTAGCTTAAAATTCAAGGCTCAATAATAACCAATTGTTAAGGGACCACCATCACTCAGTCAGTAAAAACGAAGAGGAAGCTGTATTTTGTATAGATCACAAATTCCAACGTTGCAATTCCTTAACTGAAAAGTCACCAAATGGTTGAGGTTAAAAAAAAACTTCTGGAGGTCATTTGCTCTAACCCCCTTGCTGAGCCAGGGCCACCTAGAGCCAGTAGCTCACGACCATGTCCAGCTGGCTTTTAAGCATCTGCAAGGATGGAGACTCCATAACCACCCTGAGCAGCCTGTGCTAGTGCTCAGTCACACTCACAGCGAGCAAGTGTTTCCTGATGTTCAGAGGGATCCTTCTGTGTTTCAGTTTATGCCCATTGCCTTTTGTCCTGTCACTGGGCACCACTGAAAAGAGCCTGGCTGTGTCCTCTTTGCACCCTCCCTTCAAGTATATATATATACATTAACAAGATCCTCTCTCAGCTTTCTCTTCTCCAGGCCAAACAGTCCCAGCTCTCTCAGCCTTTTCTCATATACGAGACGCTCCAGTCCTTTAATCACCCTTGTGGCCCATTGCTGGACTCTCTCCAGTATGCCCATGTCTCTTGTGTACTGAGGAACCTGGACACACTGCTCCAGGTGAGGCCTCAACAGTGTTGAATAGAAGGGAAAGATCACCTCCCTCAACCTGATGGAAAGTCCAGCTTGTAGAATAGTGATCTTCCAAATGCTGCAATATTATTTTTCCCAGACACAGGGGAAGAAAAAACAAAACACAAACAACAAAAAAACCCCATAACTTTCAGGCTTTTCTGTAGTTAATCCTTCTTAGAATTTCAAATACAGTAGCACAGCCAATTAGAATGGTGGTTCTTTTGATAAATGTGTGAAGTTAAAAGATACAGATCTGCTTATTGACAAAAAAGCAAATCACTTGAGAGTAGAGAATTTACAAATGGATACTGAAAGTAAAACTTGCATAAAAAGTCTGAACAGACTCAGTTTTGAAGGGGTAATAATTACAATTCTAGGGCACTTATTCCAGAGCAAAATATGGTTCACAGCTTAAAGATTTTCTCTAAAATACCACATTAACAAGAGTCATAACAAATTACTAGAAGGTCAGAAGATCTATCATAAATATCAAATTGGTGTTTTTATACCTGCAAGTGAGTGTTCTAAGGAAGAATTAAAGTGTTTTGTTTTTAAATCTATTTATATATAATAACCTCAATCTTTTCATACTGAAAGCGATTTTAATAAAACAATCTCTTGCTTGGGACTTTTAGAAGTTTTGCTATGGGATACGGACCTAATAAAAGTTGACATGTATTACCTTGTATCAGCTCCCCTACTACTGCATCCTGCCACCACATTTTAAGGAAAGAACTTTCCCTGACCTTAAATTCAGTAACACTTTTAGCCTCATAAGAAGCAGCATCAGCAATCAATAACCTTTCCGAGTACACGAGTGGTATGAAATCCTCTCTGCTTTCAACTCATAAACCACGCCACATAGCTAGACTGTCCATGTCTTCTTCAAATTCAGTTAAGTTTAAACACAGAAATACTCTTCTGTTGTTTTCAAAACAGTCATATGGTAAACTCTTTTCCAGAAGAAGGTAACTATTTCTGCGACATTCTGTTTGAGTTATTTTCAAGAAGGGAAAAGAAAAGGAATTCCCAGCTCCTTCCCAGCTTCATATCAGAATAAAGTCTTACTTAGGAATGAATGAGAAAAGCATTGGATGAAAAAATACCACACTAAAGTAATGAAAAAAACTCCATCGGAATTAGTTTTTTAAAGCCACTGCAGCGTGAATGGTTTAACACTAATTGACAAAAAAAGGCACAGCTTATCTGTGTTACTCCATAGTCAAATGGTGTTTTATACAGTAACTGGATAAGCACAAACAAGGAACAGTCACACAAGTGTTAATTAATGTTGATTTAGTGATGAAAATAATATGACGAAAACATCAGCATCTCATACAAATAGCAGTTTCCACCTTTTATTAATGGCAGTTGCTTCCAGAACTGTCATCTATGGCGATGGAAAACTCTTCAATTACAAACATATTCAAAAGTTGAATTTCTGTCTAGTTTGGTCAGATTACAGAATTTTTACTTGTATATGAGCATTAGAGGAAAAACATGTGAACTTAAAAACTGCCAAACTGAGAGAGAACACAATTTTAACAAGACAAGTACTTGTTTACAAGAGCAACTGGTAGAAGATAGACACTACATTTAAGAGAAAGGAAAATTATGGAGTAAACCACAGGCAGTGATTTATGCTCACATTTGTGTTCTGTACTTACAGGCTAACCAAAGTTTCTCCCTTTCACTGGCTGGTATTCAAACTCAGTTTGGGTTGTATTCATTAATATCTTCCCAATCCACCACATTCTTGGCAAAGGAAGAAAATCCATAACAGAGTTGCCAGAGCAGAAGAGCAGAGTCTTTATAAATCAGGTAGAAAGAGGGTAATAAGTAGAAAAAGTAGGCATACACAGGGGGAAAAAGATAGTATTAGACTACTGTTTAAAGGAATCCAAAGAGTTCTGTTACATCAATAATTCCTGGAAGACTGCTTAAAAAATATAATATATATATAGATGTATAGTATTGTTGAAAAAAGTCTCTGGCAGTCTAGTATTACAAAATAATAGGACACTGAAGATGATCTTCATGTTAGAAGGAAGACATAATATCCTCTTTTCTTCACTTACTCCCCTATATTACTCTGTGGCAAAAGGACTCAAAACCAAAGATTCAATTCTCACAACTTTGCCCGTACCTATTTCTAATTTGCCCTTACCTATTTCTAATTTGCAAAAATTAAAAAAAAAAATTCTAAATACTTTAATGATGAGCAAGGCTATTCCAACATATTTGAAAGAATAAATTAATATTGGAAAGCGCACCTATACTTATCAGGCTGTGAAACACAAAACCTACATCTATTTCTGAAGAACAACAGTCTTGGAGGCTTCAAGGCCGAAGACAGAATGCAGACAGAAGTTTGCTAGAGAGGAGGCAGAAGGAACAGCATTTTACTAAAGTTCAAAGATATTTCAACACAAGGATTCATTCTGAATACTAAAAGCTGCCTTAGAGTCTTCTTTTAAACACAAAATACATCTTGTTTTTCTAGACTTGATTACAAGAAAGTAGCCTTTAGGAGTCACTAGAACCAAAATCCATTTGGTTTTGCAGATAACGGTCTCTGCTAACCTGACTCTACCGTCTAGGAACTGTCAGCAAGCCCAAGTAGAATAAACCGTCGAGTTACAAGTCAAGTTTAACCACCCTGACTTAAGAGCTTACCATTATTTTTCTTACGACAGTTTTTTAACACCTACAGCATTCATTCATAGCAACCTGGAAGACTTTGAACAACTATAATTAAAAAAAATTAAAATACAGATTTGTGAACTTCTTAAAGACTCAGCCATACACACACAAAGGAATAAGGTATTGATAATTGTCGGAGTTGCCTTTATCAGGGTTACTGACATTCACTTCTGTTTTTTCCTTACAGTTCCATTAAGAGCAATCTTGACAGTATTCAGGGAATGATAAGTCAAGCAAGTCGTACTCAGCTACATGTTAACACAGGCAATAAGTTAGTTGCTCCACCATTTATTCGTATAGTCATGTTGCTTAGAAGACTGTGCCATTTGAGTACTGAACCATAGCTTAAGCAGGTCATTTTTGAAGTATGATTTTTTAAAAATATCTTTAATTATTTTCAAAATAAATGTAAATTCAATCTGAACTTTTCACACTTTCTAAGCTACTCTAAATGACTGCAGGGCACAATATTTTAAATGAAAACAATACTAGGGCAATGTTTTTTGTCAATTTCAAAAATAAGGGAAAAGAATCAGGAAGCCATCAGTAAGTCACATAGAAAACAAGACAAAAGTCTATTTTAAAGCAAATTGTTTTTCTTGTAAGTAAAATGTCCCTATTTCAGTTCACATCATTCAATTACTACTTGTTATGAGACAATATATATTGAAAGCTAAAAGACACAAAAATGCTTATTGTCCTCCTTCAGACTTTAACCTCTGCACTTAATAGGCACAGAGACCAGAAAACAAGACTAAATAAAGCCCTGGAACAGTTTTGACCACTACCAGTACCACCACACAAACAAAAAACAGCCTCTGTTTTGATACTACTGCCAAACTGGAAATGAACCCTTCCAAACATATCCACAGAACAAAACAGATATTCCCTGATGGACTGTGCCCAGGGCAGAGACTGTTAACCCTCCTTTTCAATCAGTCATTGACTCACAGATCAGCACAGGCATCACCCAGTCTCCTTAAACTGCTCCACAGCTTTTCTTGTTCCATAATCCCACATACTGGATTTGGAAAGTAGATGGTGCACGGCAATAGAAAAGCAAGTGTCTCCTGCCAGGGAGCAGGAAAAAGAGCAAAAGACTTTCCTCTTCTAAAAGTTCCCATCACAGGTCAAAGTCACACAGCACTATTTTAACCATTACATTTTTGAGCATGAGGCAGTTTGGGTTTGACAAAATGGGCTAACCATAATAAAATGGGCTGGGCCAACTGGAACAATTTCTGCTGCATGTACAGCAAGTTGAAACAGAAAAACAGAT